ACTGCACTCCAGTCTGGGCGACAGAGTGAGACTCCAACTCAAAAAAAAAAAAATGAAATCTACTCCAAGTTTTAAGAAGTACTAATTAAAACAACTCTAAATATCAGTTGGGTACAGTGGCTCACACCTGTAATCCCAGGACAAGGAAGGATTGCCTGAGCCCAGGGGTTCAAGACCAGCATGAGCAACACAGTGAGACCATGTCTCTACAAAAAATTAAAAAAATAATCCAGGTGTGGTGACATGTGCCTGTAGTGCCAGCTATTCAGGAGGCTGAGGGAGAAAGATTGCCTAAGCCCAGGAGGCTGAGACTGCTGTGAGCTGTGATTGTGCTACTGCACAAGAAAGTGAGACTCTGACTCAAAAAAAAAAAAAAAAAAAAGAGCTCTAAATATAGTTGGGCCTATATTTAGAATCCATGGATTCTGGATCCAGGGATTCAACTGACCACAAATCAAAAACATTCAGAAAAGAAGACCTACTTGTACTGAACATGTACAGACTTTTTTTTCCTTGTCTTTGTTCTCTATCACTACAGTATAACTATTTACATGGCATTTACATAAGCAAGTTAGAGATGATTTAAGTATACAGGAGGACATGTGTAAGTTATATGTAAACTAAGTCATTTTCCATCAGGGACTTGAATGTCAGAGATTTTGATATCCACAGAAGGTCCTGGAACTAATTACCCTCAGATAACAATGGATAACTCCATATTTAGTATTAAGAAAATAAAACCAAATGGCCTTGACAAGATGGTTAAATCAAATCTACCTTTCTCTTATATTTAAACATTTTACAGTGTTCTTGCTTGGTTCTTTGTGTTTTTTTGAACATTAGTAATAAACAGATTAATCTGCATACCAATATTTCTAAGTGGCTCAATATTTTGGCTACTCCTCTCTTACCTGTTGAATATGAGAAATATGCGTGCCCTGAACTGCTGACCCAGGTTGAGGTGCTGTCTCTGAAGTGTTGCTCTTGTGGGAATCTTCCATAATCGACTGTAAGGGAAAAAAGGCAGTTAAAATAAAAAGTGCTATAGAATACTTATAGTATATACTATAGTCATGTAAAAGTGATCATCTGGCTGCCTCTATGAAAGAGAACTGGTAGAGCTAGAAAAGGGACTTTTCCTTGCATATTCTTTTAGATATTTGAATTTGACTCACAAGAATATGTTTAAATTTAATAAAAGTCACTTATGTACATATACTATTGTGACGAAATTTTCAAATGTTATCCCACTCAAGAAGTATGACAGGCCAGGCATGGTAGCTCCCAAGGCGAGAGGATTGCTTGAGCCCAGGAGTTCAAGACCAGCCTGGGAAACAGCAAGACTTCATCTCTACCAAAAAAAAAAAAAAATTAGTTGGGCATGGTGCCATGTGCCTACAGTTCAAGCTACTTGGGAGGCTGAGGCTGAAGGATCGCCTGAACCCAGGAGGGTCAAGGCTGTGATGAGCCATGACCATACCACTGCACTCCAGCATGGATGACAGAAACTCCAATTGGCAATTGACGGAAACTGATAGGGGTGGGAGGGGCATAACTCATCAACAAGGGTATCTGCATAATCAACGTTTGTATAACTAACCCCGAATTTTACCCCACATCTTTATAATAAAAAAAAAAACACCTCCAACTCAAAAAAAAGGAGGTATGAAAGAAAAGGAAGTATGATGGTCTTCCTATCCATGGACACAGACATTTCTGCCTCCATTCTAGGACCGCTCCTGGCCACTGCAACCTCGACCTGGTGGGATCCGGTGATCCTTCTGCCTCAGTCTTCCAAGTAGCTGGAACTACAAGCACGCGCTATCACACCCGGCTAATTTTTTTGATTTATTGTAGAGATGAGGTCTCGCCAAGTTGCCCAGGTGGGTCTCAAACCCATGGGCTCAGGCAATCCACTCACCTCAGCCTCCCAAAGGCGTGAGATTACAGGCTGAGCCACCGAGCTTTATATAGAGAATTTATTGAGTAAAACTTGAACAAATAAATAAATAAAACCATACCTAAGAAGGTTCTAAAGATCTAGATGATCTAGATAATTTCAGGATATGCAGGAGGGATAAAAATGAGAATAAATGAGTTATGAGAGATGGAAATGGGAGAAGGCTGGTCAAAGATTTGGTAGAATTTAAGATTTCCATGGTAAATGCAAGACATAAAAAAAGAGAAGGCTAGCCGGGCTCGGTGGCTCAGCCTGTAAACCCGCGCCTTTGGGAGGCTGAGGTGAGTGGACTGCCTGAGCCCGCGCGGGTTCAAGACCCGCCTGGGCAGGTGAGACCTCATCTCTACAATAAAATCAAAGAATCGGCCGGCTGTGGTAGCACATGCCTGTAGTTCCGGCTACTCGGAACGCTGAGGCGGAAGGATCGCCAGAGCCCAGCAGGTCGAGGCTGCAGTGGCCGGGAATGGCCAGTCTGGGCGACAGAGCAAGACTCCAACTCAAAAAAAAAGGAGAGAAGGCTCGCCAGCAAGCAAATAAAAAGATGCTCAGTGTTACAAGTCATAGGGAAATGCAACTGAAAACCACAATGAGACATCTCCTGATGCCCATCAGAGTGGCTGATATCAAAACACAGAAAATGACAAGTATTGGCAAGGATGTAGAGAAACTAAGCCTTGAGCACCGCTGTGTTGAAGGAATGTAAAGTGGTGCAACTGCAACAGAAAACAGTAAGGCAGTTCCTCAAACAATTAAAAACAGAATCACTGAGTAATCCAGCAATTTCATTTCTTCGTAAATATATCCAAAAGAAATGCCAGGCGTGGTGGCTCACGCCTGTAATCCCAGCAGTTTTGGAGGCAGAGGTGAGATTACCTGAGTCCAGGGATTTGAGACCAGGCTGGGCAACTTGGAGAGACCTCATCTCTATAATAAATCAAAAAATTAGCTGGGCATGGTGGCACATTACTATAGTCCCGGCTACTTGGAAGGCTAAGATGGAAGGATCACCTGAGCCCAGCAAGTAGAGGTTGCAGTGACTGTTAGTGCCACTTCACTCCAGACTGGGTGACAGTAAGACTCTGATTTAAATAAATAAACAAACAAAATGGTGGATATACACACAATGGATTAGCAAGTCTTAGAAAAGCTTTATTTTTATTTTTTATTTTTTGAGTTGGAGTCTCACTCTGTCGCCCAGACTGGAGTGCAGTGGCCGCTCTCGGCCACCGCAGCCTCGACCTGCTGGGCTCCGGCGATCCTTCCGCCTCAGCCTTCCAAGTAGCTGGAACTACAGGCACGTGCTACCATGCCTGGCTAATTTTTTGATTTATTGTAGAGATGAGGTCTCGCCAAGTTGCCCAGGCGGTTCTCGAACCTGCAGGCTCAGGCAATCCACTCACCTCGGCCTCCCAAAGTGCTGGGATTACAGGCTGAGCCACTGGGTCCGGCCGGGTTTTTTTTTAAACATCAAGGTCTCACTGTCACCCCCCAGGGTATAGCACAGTGGCCTAAACTTGGCTCACTATAGCCTCGACCTCCTGGGCTGAAGCAAATCTCTTGCCTCAGCCTCCTGAGTAGCCAGAACTACAGGAGCATGTTACTGTCACCGGCTATTTGATTTTTGTATAGAGTCGAGATCTTGCTATGTTGCCCAGGCTAGTCTCGAACTGGGTTCAAGCAATCCTCTTGCCTCAGCCTCCCAAAGAGCTGAGATTACAGGCATGAGCCACTATACCCAGACTAAAAAGGAAATCTTGTCACATGTGTTGATTGAGCACATTATGCTAAGTGAAATAAGCCACTCACAAAAAGACAAAAACTGTATGACTCCACTCACACGAGGTATCTAGAGTAGCCAAACTCAGAGAAACAGGGAGTAGAATAGTGACTGCCAGGGACTAGGGGCAGGGAGAGATAGAGAGTAGTTATTCAAAAGACATAAGAAAGTTCTAAAGATGGCTGCACACAATGTGAATGTACTTAACACTACTGAACTGTACATTTTAAAATGGTTCAGAAGGCCACATGTGGTAGCTCACAGCTGTAATTCCAGCACTTTGGGAGGTTGAGGTGAGAGGACTGCCTGAGTCCATGGGTTCAGGACAAGCCTGGGCAACCTGGCGAGACCTTATCTCTGTGATAATGAAAAGCTGGCTAGGCATGGTAGTGCATGCCTTTAATTCCAGCTATTTGGAAGGCTGAGGCAGAAGGATCACCTGAGCCCAGTAGATCGAGGCTGCGGTGGCTGTAAGTGTGCCACTGTACTCCAGCCTGGGCGGCAGAGTGAAAATCCAACTAAATAAAAAATAAAAAATACAGCCGGGCTCAGTGGCTCAGCCTGTAATCCCGCGCTTTGGGAGGCTGAGATGAGTGGATTGCCTGAGTCCGTGGGTTCGAGACCTGCCCGGGCAATTTGGTGATACCTTATCTCTACAATAAATCAAAAAATCAGCCGGGCGTGGTAGCGCATGCCTGTAGTTCCAGCTACTCCGAAGGCTGAGGCAGAAGGATCGCCGGGGCCCAGCAGGCGAGGTTGTGGTGGCCAGGAGCGGCCACTGCACTCCAGTCTGGACGACAGAGTGAGACTCCAGCTCAAAAAATAAATAAATAAATAAAAATAAATAAATAAAATGGTTCAGATTGCAAATTTTACATTTTGTGTTTTTTATCATAACTAAGAAGAAAGGGCAACTGGGTACCTATGCCTCGGTACCATTTACTTAATGACTGTGATGTTTAAGCCTATATGATCCTTTTTTTTGGGGGGTAGAGATGGGGTCCTGTTATGTTGCCTGGGTTGGTCTCAAACTCCTGGCCTTCAAGTGATCCTCCCGCCTCAGTCTCTCAATGTGCTGGGATTACAGGTGTGAGCTCCCATGCCCATCCTTTTCTTCTTATTCTTTGAAATCAGAAAATAAATTCTTTTTTAACATCCAAATTGAAGTTGTTGTTTTCAGTCACTGAAAAAAGGGCAAAGTAGCTGGGCTCGGTGGCTCAGCCTGTAATCCCGCGCCTTTGGGAGGCTGAGGTGAGTGGATTGCCTGAGCCCGCGGGTTCGAGACCCGCCTGGGCAGCAAGACCTCATCTCTACAATAAATCAAAAATGAGCCGGGTGTGGTAGCACGTGCCTGTAATTCCTGCTACTCGGAAGGCTGAGGCGGAAGGATCGCCGGAGCCCAGCAGGTCGAGGCTGCGGTGGCCGGGAGCAGCTACTGCACTCCAGTCTGGGCGACAGAGTGAGACTCCAACTCCAAAAAAAAAAGGGCAAAGTCACTTTATGCATAAAGTAGTTTTAATTTTTTCCCACAAATATGTCATTAACCTTTTCCTTCCAACATGGAAAACACACAGTAGAGAGAAAAAAGATGACAAATCCTAATCGCGGTATTTTCCAACTTCTTCAGTCTTCTATTTCCACATTTTTTTTTTTGAGTTGGAGTCTCACTCTTGCCCAGCCTGGAGAGCAGTGGCATGCTCACAGGCACCCCAGCACCCAGGCTCATCTCAAAGCCCTGAACTCAGGCAATCCTCTTGCCTTGGCCTCCCAAAGTGCTGGGATTACAGGCTTGAGCCATCGTCAATTTTTTTTTTTTTTTGAGTTGGATTCTCACTCTGTTGCCCAGACTGGAGTGCAGTGGCCGCTCCCGGCCACCGCAGCCTCGACCTGCTGGGCTCCGGGGATCCTTCCGCCTCAGCCTTCTAAGTAGCTGGAACCACAGGTGAGTGCTACCACGCCTGGCTAATTTTTGATTTATTGTTGAGATGAGGTCTCGTCAAGTTGCTCTGGCGGGTCTCGAACCCGCGGACTCAGGCAATCCACTTACCTCAGCCTCCTCCCAAAGTGTTGGGATTACAGGCTGAGCCACCGAGCCCGGCCAATTTTTTTTTTTGAGTCAGGGTCTCACTCTGTTGCCCAGGCTGTAGTGCACTAGCGCAAACTTGGCTCATTGTTGCCTCAACCTCCTGGGCTCCTTCAGCCTCTGTCTCCTGAGTAGGGGCTACAGGCCTACCCCATCATGCCCAGTTAATTTTTGTATTTTTTTGT